GCGAAAAAACAAACCAGGGGAAAGAGGCAAGGGCTCACATAAGTATTTAGTTGTCGAACGAAACTGGAGAAGTTGTTGTGCTTGAAGTACTTGGGAAGGAGATCACGTGCAAACTCCGGCGGGTTCCAGACGACGAAGGTATTGTTCCCCGGTCCCCAAGAGACGATCGAGTCCGTTGCCGGATCATCCACCATATCATACGTCTTGCTAAGAAACGGCGGAGGCCCCCCACTACCCACAACCGCACCGCCGCCTCCGTCCATCTCTTCAACAATCAGCAACCGTAGATCAAGCAGTGGTCATCCGGTTTCCGGAGTCTCCATAGTAGGCAGTAATCAGAAATGAGTCGAACCACGGAAAAAGAGGTTAGATGAATCCACACATCGATAGAAAGGTTATGCTGCCAAAGAAGCGGTGGCGCTAACAGAAGTAGGGATCACCCGAGTAGAGAGAAAGGGGGAGGAATAATTGCGGAACAAAATACTGAAGGTGAAGAAAACTTCATCGGATCGTTGAAGTTCTCGACACATTGGCGGTGCAAATATATATATATCTTTACTTTTCTACTTGCAAATCAGAAGATGCTCGCATGCAGCTGCCGCCGTGCGGTGCTGGGTGAGTGCGACTAAGCGAAGGTGGAGACATTATTTCAAAAGTCACCCTATAGATATAGAAAATGTCTGAATTACTACGACTAAACGCGACGGTGCAATACTTTAGTCGCAAAATGTAACATGTGTTAACATTTTGAATATTTATATTTTCATATTTCCTTATATGATTGTTATATTATTTTTTGATGTAAGGTCTTTTACTTAGAGTACATACAATATGAACGACCAATTTTTTAGATGGAAAATGGACTAAGAAAGATGAATGCGAAGCTTAGGAGAGCATTTTTCATAGTAACTAATTAGTTGCGGGGAAAAGTGACTTTAGGGGGGTTTCACGAATTATAAATATTTTTTATAGAGCCAAAAAAGAAAGAGAGACTCTCTTGCTTCCCTATCCCTCTTTCATGACTTACCGAGAATAAAATAAGAATATTTTTATATCATATGCCCATCAACAATGTTTTTGTCACACCATGAGTACGGAATGTGAGACATTCTAGTAACAGATAGCTTGATGAAAAGAATTGAACCTATTTTGTATTCCTAAGAGAAAAAATATTTAAATAATAATAGAAAGAATTAAGAATAATTCAAATTTGACGGTTCAACTAGCGATCCCACACCTAAAAGAAGATAGACAAAATACTTTTGAAATCAAACTTATTTATGAAACTAGATGTAGCCAAATCAACAATTTTTTTTCTATAAAAAACAATAAGTTATGAACATTAATCTAAAACAAATTCTTCCTTTCTTTTCATAGTAATAGGGATGACAAATTATGAATTTAAATAAGAATTTTAGAGATTTACATGCATAGAAAACACCTATCCCTAATAATAGCAGCATAAAAACTAAATTAATGACCTGTCGGGTTTCCCAAGTTACAGCGTTGACGTGCTGACGAATTAGTTGCTATGAACGGACAGCGATCAATAGCAATTGGCGGCATCCGGTCGGTGGTGGTTGGTGGCGAACGATGGAGGTCGACGATGGTTGGCGGTAATCGACGGCTGTCAGAGGTAGTCGACGGACCTTGGTTGTGATCGACGGCGGTCGGAGGTGGTTGGCGAACATTGACAGTGACCCAAGCGGTCAACGGTGGTTGACTGAGGTCACTGGTTGTCGACAGCAGTTGATATTGGTGTTGTTGGACTTCAACTTCTTATTAAAGGTTCAAGCTCTTCTTGAGATCTCAAACCCCACTCCCCCTCATGAGAGGCTTGGGATTATATTTATAGGGCTACAATTAATGTAGGAATGTGAACCACTTTGATCGAGTGGTCAAGAAAGCTTCCCCTGATAGACAATGTTTGATTAACATTTAAGGGTCTTAATGATGTCGGACTTGTTGGATTCATCAATCGAAGACTCTCAAATTCAACTACAAACTCTCTAAATTCAACATTCATTTGACCTTTCAAATGTGTTTGGAAAACTTCCAAACATAATTTAATTGCTTGATCATTGCTCGATTTGGTTTATATTGGATCAATATTGATACCATTGGGTTCGTCTCCTTGATCTGGTTAGTTTGATTATAGCTTTGAAATTAAAATTTTGAATGATATTTTATCGAGGTTTGAGTATTTTTTGCTCAAAAGATTACCCCGAGATCTATGTTTTGCCTCATGATTCATGTTGGATAATAGAAATTTATTGATTGTTATCAATAAGCATTATAGTACCCATCCACTCAACTTGCATGATGAGACCAGAAATCTACTTGCAGAGCAAGATAAATCGTATAAATTAATTTGAAAATATATAACGAGTATAAGACGATCATATCATGTTAAAACAATATCCAAAGCTTCTTGTGTTATATGGAGCTTGGTTAAAAAAAACAAATTCTAACTATTCTTGGCTGCTCCTGTCTACCCTTCCTCCCTATCGATTCGCGAAAAGGTGCAAAGGTCCTATCGTTCAATTTAAGCTTCGCTGAAGACAAGGGAATAAAGTAATGCTCTTTGTTTCTCCTTTATAATTTGGCTTCCGGTGAGGCCAAAAGAAAGCAACAACAAGGTTTTATTTGTCTCATTTTTTTATCCTTTTTTCCTTTGTGTTGATCAAAGGTAGGAAGGAAGAGGAGGAGAGAGGAAGTGGAAGTTGTTACTTGCAGTGATGACTTCTCTTTTCATTGCGGCTCGTCTTCTTGCATGGCTCTCAAGTAGAGAGAGAGAGAAGAAGAGAGATTAAGTTGTTTCTTGTAAAATCATCGAAGCTATAGATGGTGTGTTATCCTCAAGTAATAAAATCCTCTGCAACTCTGTGGACGTAAGAAAAATTTGCTAAACCACGTAAATCTGTGTGTTTCGCCGTGTTGTTGTTTTGCGAATTTTTCTCATTATATTTTTTGCTTCGTCGTTGATCGTTCTATTTTATACATATATCACAACAACTAGTATCAGAACCTGTGGTTTCGGATCTGATGAAGAATGATAGTTGCAGATGAAGTGAATGTTTCAGGGATCAAAAAATTTGATGTCATGGATTTTGGTTACTGAAGAATGCAGATAGAGAACTGTCTCTATGAGAAGAAAATTCATCTTTCGTTAGTGGGAGAAAGACCGGAAATTATGGATGAGGCTGATGCAATTTGTTGGATTGACAAGTTCTGAGGGTTATTTGATTGACCCTATCGAGATCCGTTGCACACAACGTCATCAAAGAAAAGACTACTGCATCTCTCATGACAGTCATGTCAGGTATGTATGAAAGGTCATCAACGAATAACAAGGTATATCTGATGAAAAATTTATTCAATTTAAAGATGACAGAAGGTACGTATGTTGTACAACATCTGAATGATTTTAATACTATCACAAATCAATTATCATTGGTGAAAATTGAATTTGATGATGAGATATGTGTACTGATCTTGTTGGTTCATTGTCAAATAGTTGAGAAGCCATGAGGATAACTGTTAATAATTCTGCAGGTAAATCTAAATTGAATTATGATGATATTTGTGATTTGATTTTGACTGAAGAGGTGCGTAGGAAAGATTTTGACGATACCTCAAATTCGAGTTCAACATTAAATGTCGATTCCAAAGGAAGATCGTGGGACATGAACTCAAACTGAGGAAGATTAAAATCAAAGCACATAGACATGAGCAAGTCAAAGTCTGGTAAATAAGTAATTTGCTGGAATTATGGCAAAACTGACTACATAAAGAGAAACTATAGAAATCCCAAGAAGACGGAGAATGACAGCGTAAATGTGGAAACTAAAGAAGCACAGGTTGCACTAATACTGACAAATCATAGTTCTGCTGATGACTGGATACTGAATTCAGAGGTTTCTTTCATACAACTTTTCATTGGAAATTGATGTAAAAATATGTTGTAGCTGACTTTAAGAAAGAATATATTGCAGATTGAGAAGTTTTGAATGTGGTAGGAATGGGAGACATTGATATTGCACTTTCTAACAAGAACAAGTGGACTCTGCAAGAGGTCAGACACGTTCTTGAACTGAAAAAGAACCTCATTTTTGTTGGGCAGCATGATGAGTGTAGACTTTCAGTAGTGTTCTCAGATATCACCTGGAATGTTACTAAATGAGCAGTGGTACTAGCTAGGGGTAAGAAAACATGTACGTTGTATATGACCATTGGTTTAATTAACAGTGTTGATACTACTATTGCAAAGAGCAAAACATAGTTGTGACATTACAAACTTGGCCACATAAGTCAGATGGGCATGAAAGAACTTCACTCTAGAGGCAAGCTACCATAATTAAATGCAGCTGGTTTCAACATGTGTGAGAGTTATATTTGAGGAACAGAGAGAGATAATTTTTTTAAAAAATGGCAGGACGCTAAAGGTGGGAAAGCTGGATCTTGTACACGCAGATGTGTGAAGACCTTCTCCAGTGGAATCTATTGGAGGCTCTCGTTACTACATCACATTCATTGACGATCATAGCAGAAAGGTATGGGTCTATTTCTTGAAGCATAAATCTGATGTATTTAGTGTGTTTAAGAATTGGAAGGTCGTGGTTGAAACAAAGACAGACTTAAAGCTGAAATGTTCGAGGTCTAATAATGGTGGTGTGTACCTTAATGGTGGTTCAAGGAGTATTGTGCAGCTTGAGGCATCAAAATGGAGAAGACCATTCCAGGGACACCACAACAAATGGTGTTGCAAAGCGCATGAACAAGACCATTAATGAGCAAGCTAGAAGCATGAGATTGCACGCCGGACTACCACATACTTTCTAGGCATAAGGGGTCAGCACTGCAATTTATTTGATCAATAAGGGTCTATCTGTTTCACTACATTGTGAATCGCTTAGTTTGCAGACTAAAGAATAACTTGTATGGTTTGAAGTAAGCTCCTAGACAGTGGTACAAGAAATTTGATAATTTCATACATAGTGCAGGGTATAACAGATGTCGGGCAGATCATTGTTGTTATGTCAGACATTTTAACAATTATTATATTATTATACTGTTATATGTGGATGATGTGCATATTGCAGGGCTAGTATTAATGAGATCAATAATCTAAAGAAGCTGATGTTAGAGTAATTTACAATGAAGGATTTGGGAGCTGCGAAGCAAATCCTTGGTATGGAATTGTCAGAGATAGAGTCAGAGGGATGTTGAAACTCTCTCAGGCTGAGTATGTGAAAAAGGTACTTAACAACTTCAATATGGATAAGACCAAACCAGTAAGCACACCCTTGGGCGGTCACTTCATACTCAGTAAGAATAAGTCACCAAACTCAGAGGAGAAACGAGATCATATGAGTAAGGTTCCTTATGCTTCAACTATTGGTTCACTATGTATGTTATGGTTTGCACTAGACCGAATATTGCCTGTGCAGTGGGAGTTGTTAGCAAATACATGAGTAGTCCTGGAAAGGAACATTGGGAAACAGTGAAGTGGATCTCGATGTACATAAGAGGCTCTTCAAAAACTTGCTTGTGTTTCTCAGGAAAAATTTCAGAGGTACATAATTATGTTGATGTTGATCTAGCTAGAGACATTGATACCAGAAGAAGTACTACGAGCTATATTTATTTTATTGGTGGCACAACAGTGTCATGAGGCTTTAATCTGCAAAATACAGTTTCGTTGCTATTACAGAACTGAGTATATAACAGTGTCAGGGGTTGCAAAGGAGATGATATGACTACAGAGATTCTTGGAAAAATTGAGCAAGAATAATCAGAAGAGTATTCTCTACAGTGATAGTTAGAGTGTCATATTCCTTGTCATAAATCTAGCATTTCAGTCCAAAACCAAGCACATTTAGATCAGGTATCACCTCATACGATCATTGTTGGATGACGAACAATTGTTGCTTGAGAAAACATGTGAAAGCAAAAACCCTTCTGATATGTTGACTAAGAGTGTTATTCTTGAGAAACTGAAGTTGTGATCAGCTTCAGTTGGTCTTCTAGCTTGAAGACATGAGCCTTGAGTTGCATATGTGAAGGATATAATGTTGAAGAAAAAGGTGGAACCACCAGTGGCAGATATCAATTTGAAGAGGAATAACGATATTGCATGTGTACCTGTCTCCAAGTGAGAAAATAAATTCTAATTGTACCCACCTGCTCCCGCCTACCCTTCCTCCCCATCGATTTGCGAAAAGGTGCAAAGGTCCTACCATCCATTTTAAGCACCGCTAAAGGCAAGGGAATAAAATAATGCTCTCAGTTTCTCCTTTATGACTTGATTTACAGTGAGGCCAAAAGAAAACAACAACAAGGTTTTATTTGTCTTTGTTTTTTGTCTTTTTTCCTCTGTGTTGCTCACGGGTAGGAAGAGAGAGGAGGGGAGAGAGAGATAGGAGGAGGAAGCTGTTGCTTAAGGTGGAGACTTCTCTTTTCTTTGCGGTGGGTGGCTCTCGAGTAGAAAGAGAAGAGATATAAAGCTGTTTCTTGTAAAATCATCGAAGCTATCGACGGTGTGTTATCCTCAAGTAATAAAATCCTCTGTAACTCCGTGGATGTAGGCATATTTGCCGAATCACATAAATTTGTGTGTTCCGATGTATTACCATTTTGCAAATTTTTTTCGTTCTATTTTTCGCTTCGTCGTCGATCATTCTATTTTATACATATACCACAACATCTTGAACCATCTACACAATATGTTTGAATTATAATTGAACAAAGTTAATTCAGATAATATTCAATCATGATTTAACAAAGATTGAATAATATTCAATTTAATGATGATTGAATAGATTAAGAAAGAATAAAAAAAATTAAACATTATTTGAAGCATTTTCTTAAAATATAATTGAATAATATTTGTACATAGATCAAACCACCATTAAATATTGATGGAACAATCTTCAATCTATGATTATACCTTATTTGAATAAAGAGCTACCATATTTAATTTATTTTTAAATAATGATTAAAATATTTCGAACAATGATTGAACTCTTTAATTTATGTATAATCTTGCTCGATCTGTGCTCAATCATGTTTTGACCATTATTCAAAAATGGCTAAACAAATCATTGTTATTCAATCATCAATAGAAAAACTCTAACATACATTAATATATATATTAGCTTTTTAGGTCTACGGCAAATCTATTGACTTTTCAAATTTATTAAAATATTAGTAACACATTTAGGGTCTGTTGGGCAGCTGTTGATTATTTATAATATGCTGATAAACATATTATTCTGATAATCCGATAATCTGTAGATTATGAAAATAAGTTGACTTGCTGTTTCAACGGCTTATTCAAAATAACTTATTGATAGCTATTGCTGAATAAATGACCTTCATGCCCCTGTTTGGTGAAAATGTTTGCAAGAAAACTAAAAATGACCTTCATGTCTATGTTTGGTGAACTCAAATGCAACCACATTTGGCGCATCTTGAACTCAACTCACAATGAAATAGATATCTTGGATTTCAAGTCAAGGCTAGCTTAGTGAACTCAACTTGACGTTAACCCAACTCAAAGAGAAAAGCTCTGAGGTTGAACTCTAGCATCCATCTTTAGAGTACGTGCCCAAATGGTTTCCAGCTCAGACACTAAATTTCACTAAATTCTTTCTCAAAAAAAGAAAATTCTCAGCACGCAACACTAATATTAAGGAATAATCTCAAACAACAACTCATGATAAAACAACTGATCATCACTGTAATAATTGGATACCTAACTTGAAACATAACTCAATAAATACAATTGCTTGAATCAGTAATGCAGTAGGATTCATCTATTTTTGGGAGAAAAAGTAGAACCATAACAATACACAATTGACATAACATGATATCATCCTCTAAAAATGACAAAAAAATTAATTTTTACTGCAATTTTGTTAAAATCCATATGAAACTCAAATGTTTTAATTTTTCTAACATCTCACCAAATTTACCGACCAAGTTTTAACATTTGAAAGTAAAATGTAGCCTATTTATGAAGAAACCCTAGAAATCAATTGAAGCAAAATGACATGAAGAAGATAATAAAGGACAGTATAAGCGAGAATGGGAAGAGAGAAACAAAGAGCCACTAACCTTTAGGAAGAAATTCGAAACAGGGTGGAAGAAGTTCCAAACACAGTGGGTATCGTTCGATCTGGCAGTTAAAGGATTAGAAGAAGAGGAAGAGGGAGAAAGGGAGGGAGAAAAAGCAGAGGGACGCGGTCAGGATTATGCTATCTGGCGAGGCGAGAGGGAAATCTGCGATTCTCTGGAAAGCGCGAGGGAGAGGGATCGAAGGCACCACAAGAATTCTTTCATAATCACAAGAACGACTTGCGAAGCGATGAAGAAGGGCGGGCGGGAACCGACTTGCGAAGCGATGAAGAAAATGACGATATTAGAACGCCACGACACCAAAAATTCCCGACCGATCGCGACATTCAAACGGGAAGGCGGCGTTTTCACAACGCCGCCGCATCCTATAAGTTGCCCCAAACGGGAACTTAAACATACATAATAAAAATAAATAATGCCAATTACTTTCTCATAGGAAGAATAAAGAAGAAAACATTTATTAAAAGTCTGTTTGGGGCAATTATAGTCGTTTGAGGAAATAACTATGAAGCTGATAAAGAAAAAAAATATTGTCAAAAAAATTGCGGTGACCATTACGATTTTTTTTTTAAATTAGACCTTAGCTTTCTAATAGCCACCACCACTTGTAATCAACTCTAGTGCGAAAACACAAATTTTAGTTGCAACTTTTTTATAACACAGACAAAAATACGATTTTGCAAATAGGAAAAATTATGGTGGGACTCCGCACCGCAGCAACAAATAATATTTAAATAACTTAACATATACTAAGAAACATATAAAATATTGGAAAGGGGAAATTAAAAGAGCTCCTCTATAATACATTTTAATACATGCCAACATGGACTTTATTTATCAAATAAATATTCATGGTTCTTAAAATTAGCGTATTTTGATAAAGAAATTATTTTTCGTTGTATTTATTCTAGGCAAATAATTTCACTAATTAATTCATTGACAAAAAAAAAGTATAAATGAAATTGTAATGAAATTTATTTCTAACTCCAAGGAAAAAAGAGAGAGGGAACATAAACCCTCTCAGACATTCTCCCGTCTCCCAGTTTCGAAAAAAATATTACATCAGGACTCCGCACGTACAGTTACGTGGGGAGTCCAATGAAATTACATCATAGAAGTGCTCAGCCCGGTAACACAATTGAATATTCCACTCATGTTATTCATATGTTATTTTGTATTACTCAGATATTATTTTGTGTTATTCAAATATTATTAATTTATTATTGCATTATTATAATATCGAAAATATTCTCAAAACATAATAACAACTAAATAATATATAATAACAACTAAAAAAACACAGAATAATAATTGAATAACACATAGCAGAGGAATGTATTTGCACCATAGCCATCTTCGAATAAGGTATTTTCTACGGTGGCGCCATGAATAGCACATAACAGAGCAGCGCCTAAGACTCCAGCAACTCCCATCATATGAAATGGGTTCAACGTCCGATTATGAAACCCTTGAAAAAAAAGAATGAATCAAAATAAAGCTGTTACACCAAAACCGGGTGCAAAAAACTAACCACGAATACCTTCCTTTAAGAGAATATTTTTAAAACCCTCGCTCATGTCACTCGTTTCGCTCAAAACCATCGTCTTCGTGAACGAACCTTCGCGATACAGTCGCGTCGCCATTAGGCTAGCTGGGAAGGGAAAGGCGGGATCGCGGCTTACAGAGGCCTCCGAAACTCCCGTCTTCCTCATCCTTTCTCTCCGCTCCTATCAGAAGCCATTGAGGAAGATAAGCCTGTTCGCGCCATTCATTCTCTTGGCTCGTCCAGGATTAACTAGATCCGCCGATTAACAGGATTCAGTAAATCCCGATTTTATAGCGAATTCGCGTCATTTTGGGATTTACGGGTCTCAGGATTTATGGAGGGTTTGTTTGCGTTTGGCGTAAATCCTTCATAAATCCTGCTTAAAACCTTATACCCAATAGCGGGTTCGGTTTTTTTTTTCTGTTGTTGTTGTTGTTGAACGACAATGGAAATCACCGCCTACTCGACGACTGCGAAGAGGAAGAATCACAGACCCGAGGCTCAGTTCAGGCACGCACTTGACACTTGCTCCAAGAACAACGATCTGCCAGGTGCCCTCGCTCTTTACCAGTCCGCCGATTCCAAGAACATCCATCTCTCCGCATACCACTTCAACTCCCTCCTCCACATCTTCTCCTCCTCTCTCGAGACCCTAGAAAAGAAGGAACCTACCAAACAATCCGTGATAGAGAATGCCTTCTGCATATTCGATCGCATGGTGGCTACTGGCGCCACCCCCACGGAGGCTACCGTCACAACGATGGCGAGGATCGCCGCCCGTCGACCGGATAGTGGGGGAAATATGGCTTTTGATCTCGTGAAGACCATGGGGGATAAGTACGGCGCAACGCCAAAACTTAGAACCTACGGCCCCGCGCTATTTACGTTCTGCAGAAATGGAGAAGCCGAGAAGGCTTATTCCGTGGAGGAGCACATGGCATCGAAAGGAGTTTCTCCCGAAGAAGCGGAGATTGCTGCTCTGTTGGAGGTTAGCGCGAGAGATGGGAGAGGGGAGAGGGTCTATGGCTATCTGCAGAAGCTGAGAAGTTGTTTGGGCGGGATAAATTCTTCGACAGCTACTGTTTTGGAAAATTGGTTTAGCAGTGAGCAGGCCGTGGAAGTTGGGAGCTTGAATTGGGATGCGGATCGGGTAAAGGACGCAATTCTAGTCAATGGAGGAGGTTTTCATGGTTTAGGATGGTTGGGGAGTGGTGGATGGGAATTTGCTAGAGGTACTATTAGTGTAGATGGCCATTGCTCTTGTTGTGGGCTGAGGTTGTTATGTGTTGATATTGATCAAAGGGAGACAGAGAAGTTTGCAGAGTCCGTGGCTGGCTTGGCTATGGAAAGGGAAACCAGAGCAAATTTTAGTAAATTTCAGGTGAATGGATTTTCTACCCGCGAGACTTTATCTGCATCTGAGCTTGCCTTCTTCATTGGGATTATTTTTCATTGATTTCCATCCCTAAAACTTCTCAGCGCCGATCCTTATATTTTTTCAATAAAAATAAGATACAAAATATAAAAACTTGTTAATCTTCTTTATTATTGAGTAGTCTGGGAAGGTATTTGTTATACATATAAGGTTTCAGTTTAAGAATATTTTGTTGTACTTTTAAAGTAGAGATTTAATATTAGAATCAAAAAACAAATTGGAATTTGTTGAGCCTGGTTTAGAATGGTGATGGTTTGGGATATCCTTGTGAGTTGATCGAGCTTGCTTGGTCAGATTGGGCTTGTTTTGTCAACGCCTTGTTCATTGCCTGCTTAAAAAAACTCATTAATAACTGTCTAGAAAACTAGAATTCTAGATATGCTTTGGTTTTGTGATTTCATTGATTTGCCTTTTATTATGTGTAGGAATGGCTAGATAATCACACTTTCTATGAAGCTGTAATTGATGGTGCAAATGTTGCACTTTATCAGCAGAACTTTGCAGATGGTGGCTTTAGTCTATCTCAGGTATTTGCTTTTTGCAATTCACAGTTTTTTGCAACTTATCGCAGTTATTGGCATCTGTTCGTAAGGCTTAATATATTTCCACCCATTATATTGTTTCCACAACAGTTAAATGTCGTCGTTGGAGAATTACAGCGTAGGAACCAGGGTAAGTGGCCACTAATTATTATTCATAGCAAGCGCTATCGAGTGCTCATGGACAACCCCGCTAACAGACAGTTGCTAGAAACTTGGAGTGCAGCTGGAGCATTATATACAACACCGAATGGGTCAAATGATGATTGGTAAGGATCTTAGTTTTGGAATTTTAAATATTTTCATGGTTTTGTTAAGTGTGTTGTCTGGTATTAATGCCAATTAAAATGACAGATAAAAAGCAAGCTTAGATCCTACTGGAGTTGCATGATAATAGGGAATTTGCAGATAGGAAGTTGCTGCACCGATGCAGAGTTTATGAAAACATAGATTTCAGGGAATTTATGCAGCATTATTGGGCGACTCATAGATGGAATTTAATTTAATATATTCTTGCAAGATTAAATGCTTTTCGTGCTTTTTAAGACATTTTCATCATATTCATTGCCACAAGCTATGAGAAATATTTTATTATTTTATGTCGTTTTAGATTTAGAAGGCTCATTGATTAAGAAGTGAAAGAAACATGGAGAAGGACTTTCGAATGAGTTGGCAAAATCGAACTTGTAATGACAAAGAACAAATATGGAAATGTTATGAGTGAAAATAACTTAGTGGTTGGCAGATATTAATCTTGGCGTCTCTAGACGTCAGCATTGTTATGCTTTACTGATTTATGTATTATTAAGTACTTTCTAAGAACCCTTGATCTTATATAATTTAACATAATAGTTTAACTATCATTTGACCAAGGTATATATAGGAATTTTATTCAATTCTAAGCGTTATTTAGATCTGGGTGTACCAAATTGTTTTATTAACATTTTTAACCATCATCATCATTAACCTTATCTCAGCTATTTAGGGCTTTTTGGATCAACATTTTGCATTCATCTATATAAAGTGCATCACGAGGTATTTAACATATTTTTTGCATATTCAACAACTTCTATGTATGTTCCCCATCTCCTTCTCATCTTCTTTCTTATGCCATGAACTTATTTAATCCACCTTTTTAATTGATGCATTTTTTATCATTCATTCTACATGTCCAAATTATCTCACTTTATTTTTAACTACTTCATTTTAAAAATATATTATTATAACTATTATTCTAATATGACCATCTCTTGGGCTATATTTTATAATTTTGCCATGCATCCATTTATCATCACTCATGTTTGTTGTCTGCGGAGCCTAGAGATCAATCAATTATTCTCTAACTTCCTAGGTCTCAATGCTCGGATCTATACAACATAGCTGATCTAGTTACAGTTTTATGAAATTTATCATAAGAGTACATGATGCCCTTTTTTATATGTTTAAGAATATAAAAAAAACCAATGCCTACCTTATTTCTTAAGAACTTGTCTGTCATGTACCTCCAAGTTTGATTGTCAGAGAATCATGTTTAAAGCTCCCTCCAAGTTTGATTATTGGATAATCATGTTTAAAGTTGAAATGCTTTTGTCAAGCACTTTTTTTGGATTAAAGATTTATGCACCCTTTTGCTCAGGTTTGTTGATCTTCAAAATATATTAAAAAAAAAGAAATTAAAATAAATTTAAACCTGTAACTACTCTCACTCTCGATGGTTCGATTTGTAAAATCTCTTGGCGGAATTGTTCTGCTACATTCATTCCCATATACCTACACCAACACTAAGTGTATTCAAAACAAAGCTTGATCTCTCTCCTGTTCTTTCAGTTTGCAAGCCATACATAGAGATTCCTCCTGCTCTTGGTTTGAATGGTCAGACTGAAACCACTTCTTCGTCTCTCCTAGTCATCTGCAAAGCCCTTGATGCATGCGAAAATTGCACACGATCCCCCCCACTAAGCCACACTTGCATGCTAACCTGTTTGTTTTGTAGTTCCATCCCGACAAAGTCGAAGCCTCTCAGTTCACCTGTTTCATCTCTCGTGACCAAAATTTTCGCAATAAAGGTGCGGCTATGGCTAGCTCTAAAGTCATCGATGGGATCACATCGAAGACCTCAAAAACTTAAATTTTCTTGTTCATTCTTTCGCTCCATTTGTAAACAAAAGCCCTCGCCATTCCTCATGCACATGAGGCTACCAACCTATTCCCTCGCGATCAACCCAATCACACTTCCTGCTTCTTATTGTCGAAGTTGAAGCCTTCTCTTTGGTCCACACACAGGATTGAAATCTCTCTTCACCGCTCGCAAACAAAAACCATTCCCGCTGTCTCTCGTGTGCCCCAATCTACTCTAACTTTCTATTTGTTGCTTAACTTGAGACCAAAAGCACTCACTTTCTTTTTTTTCTGTCTCTAGTGTGATCAGATCCAGTCATAACTTTAACTTTATTGCCGACCTTAATCCATTCTCTTTACTATCCCGAGCTATTATTCTCTCCCCTTCTTTTCTTTTTAATATACTTTATATATTATATATATGTAAATCAGAAAAATAAAATATATTTTCATTTCGTCGATTATGACATTTCAACATTGCCGACTTCACCGATTTTGCTTACAAGGTATAAAAAGCAAGTGAAATTTTTAAATACTCATTTGGGCAAATTAAAGTACTTGTTCAAGAAAATTTAGGTAATGTCCATAAAAATTTGCATAAAGCAGGGAAATTTCTAAGTGCTCATTTTTGAAAACTTGAGTAGTACCTGTTCAAGGAAATTTAAGTACCATGTAGGGAACTCTAAATATTGGTTCGAGAAAATGCGTGTTTGTATTTGGCTTTTTGCAGGTTCATTTAAGACCTGTCTCATCTTATAGATCGTGAGCTAAACTATCTTTTTTGTTCCCCGACCGCAGTGTCTTATTGTAATAACAGAAAGTAAAAAGAAAAATATAATAATAATAATAATAATAATAATAATAATAAGCAGATATCGGCGGTTAGAGGAGACATCCCCTCAGATCAAATATATCGCTATCGTTCGGTCGTTTTTTCATTCGAACCATCAAACAGAAGCGAACAAGCAAGAAACAACGAGAAAGATTGAGAGAAAGAAAAATAGAGAGATCAAGAGAGGGAAAGATCGTGTGTGCCCTAGCCGAAGAAGGAGGTGGAAGAAGGTAATCTTTGTTCTTTTCTCACAAGACAAAGTGGAGGAAGAGAAGGAAGGAGAGTTGAACCCTCTGCGTGCGCTGCTTTGTTGAGTTGGTCAAGACCGAAGGAGAAGAACCAAGCACGCACAGAGGAAGAGGAAGAAGAAATTGAAGGAAAAAAACATTCGAAGTTGAGTCCAAGCTCTGCTCAGAGAGGAAGGGAGGAGGATCGGCTTCGTGCACTGTTACCGTTCTTGCGTGCAGTGGAAGACGAGGTCGACGGAGAGGAAGAAGACGTGTGTGAGCGGCTCTGGATTGAATCGAGGCTGAAGCAAAGAGGAGGAATAAGCCTCAAGTACTCTGTTGGGAAGAACTACGCTTGAAGGAGAACAAGAAGGGAAAGATCCCTGCTGCTGAGCTCGTGTGAGTTAGGGCAGAGCGAAATTTTATAAGGTATAATTGAGATTTTAATAAATTAATTTATTGATATTGTTATATGAATATGTTCTATAATGTGTGGGTGTGTTTAATAATATTATTGACAAGATTTATTAAATTATGGATTAACAATTAGTGATTGCACTTTCGAAGAAGTTGGTGGAGTGTGAGAGTTAGGGGGAGGATCAATCAGAACAACTTTTAAGGTAAATCTTCATATTTAAGTTAAGCAAATTAACCAAATGTTATATATATATATATATATATATATACATACATAATGTTAAAATAAAATTTACTTGAATCAAGAAGTACTTGAAGTTGAGGAGTTGTAATTTTGAAATTTAAAAGAGAAAAGAGGAGACTTTTGCAAGGAAGCAAACCAAATTTTTTTAAGGCAATGAATTGTATAATTAGTTATTTGTGTTATTTTAATTACATGTCATTAGACATATTTAAGTTTTTTTTTCTTAGAATAAAATTATTATAATTATATGTACATTTAATTAATAAGTACTAGTCAAGAAGTGCAGTGAGAAATTAAGCATTTACAACAATCATTTAAAGTTAATGTGAGTGATTATTTTCCTTTATGTATTAAATTGATGTTTAATTAAATGAATGATCACAATAAATAATTTGAAATCGGTATGTCATTCATAAATTTCATGTTGAAAGTCTGAAATAGTACAAGGAGTTGGAGCAAAACAACAAATCGACAAAAGTATATTTTTAATGATTTTAAATTCATATAAAATGAAACATAAATATTTAAATGATACAAGATTACCCTCATATGTTACTGACAGGGGATGCAATGTACTTGTGCATGTTCAAAGAAATGGTAAAGGTGCATCTCCGGGTACAATTTGAGGGTACCTTCTAGTTCATTTTTTAGGATACTTCAAGTATTACCGTAATCCTATAATGACTGTTAAAAATGTTAAAAGATAAATACTTAAAGTGAAATGAGATGAAATAAATTTAAAGTTTTAATGAAATAAAATATATTTTCTTTTGTCATTCATGCATAACATAACATAAAAATTTAATGAATATTAAATTATAATTACTCATTAAGTTATACTTATGATTGCAATTAATGTTTTATTTATGGAGAAATAAAATTTTAGGTTGTTATGTCTCATAGGAGAGACTTGGTTTACCGGAAGAGAACCATTGTTGTTAGATATTTTTTATAATAGTTTCTCTTTAGTGTCTGTTTCAGATATTGATATACTGTTTATTGCTAACTTGAGATATTGTCTTTGGATGTTATTATTTCTGGATGTTTTAGATTCTATTGCACTTTTTGGATTAGTGGCTTTTTTATATGTGTTGGAAGTTTTTAAAATATGGATAGTTAGATGTTAAAACAAGTCCAACCGCTGTACTCGCCTTAGTTAATTCTAAATACCAGGTTTGGTCGTGACAAAATTGGTATCAAAGAAATTAGGTTTGATCATGATCTAAAAGAGCCATTAGGATGATTACTCTAATTCATAAGCAATATTGATAACGAATTAAATTTTATATAATCATAATTTTTCTTATGCTATGTCAGAAGTATAAAAATCAGGTGGAAGAAGCTAGAGATGATATTCTAGAAGTTGATGCACCCCCGTAGGTTATTGTGAATACTGATGCATTTACTGAAACCATGACTACAGTAACGCAG